CTGTGTAGATTTTCCAGTGAGAGAAGAGGGCAGCCCACGATCTTCTGGGCTGTGTTGATAACTCTCTGGAGTGCTTTCCTCTGAACCACTGTGCAGCTAAGATAATCCACAGTGATGAAGTATGTTAAGATGCTCTCTATGGAACATCAGTAGAAAGACACCAGCAGTCTCTGGGTGGTGGTGTTCCTCCTGAATACTCTCAGGAAGTACAGTCTCTGCTGGACCTTTTTCAGCAACCTAGAGGTTTTCATGCTCCAGGTCAGATTCCCCTGGACTCCCAGGAAACGGTAATCAGCTACTCTCCCTGTCCGCAAATTTGACTATGGTGTTGATGTGGTGAGCAGGGGTGCAGTCATGTATGTAGAAGGCATAGAGCAGGGGGCTCAGTACACAGCCCTGGGGGACTCTGGTGCTAAGGCTGAGGGCCATGGATGTGTGACGGCCCATTCAAACCTTCCGACTGAGGTCTGACGAGAATCTATTTACACATGTGCAGGTGAAGTGTGGAAAACCCAGTTCACCCAGTTTTTGCACCAATTTGTTGGGGAGGATGGTGTTGAAAGCAGAGCGATAGTCTACAAAGAGCATCCCCACATAGCTCTCTTTTTTCCTCCAGGTAGGACATAGAAACATGGAGGGCTGTGCCCATGGCATCCTCAGTTGACCTATTAGCTCTGTAGGCAAACTGGTGGGTGTCAAGAATGTGTGGAAGGAGTGAAGTGATGTGACTCATGGCCAGCTTACAAAACACTTCATCATCACTGGACTAAGAGCGAGTGGCCGGTAGTCACTTAGATAGGAAATTTGGGGTTTCTTGCATATTGGAACTATTGTAGATATGGGGACCATTATATACAAGATATGGGACTTCCATCTTTCTTTCACAGAAAGAATATGTGACTGCACAACACAAAACCCAACCAGAATAGGTAAGAATAATTCCTCAAGTAACAATAATAATTAACTTTTTTTTTTTAATAATTAGTAGAAACTTACACAAACCTTAATTTTTAACATCTGCTTGTTGTTAGCTGATATAATTGCCATTTTTTGTTACAGGACCAAAACTTTGAAGTGTTAAACACATTAGTCACCAAACACTGTAAGTAAAAAGGGGTAAAGGAATTTGACTTCCATCACTGCCTAAGCATAAATATAAATCTTTCCACTCTGCAACTCTATACCAGATCTGCTTAAGTCCTTTAAAAGCAGACCAGGCTTCCACTTTTCTTTCCTCTCAGGTGTACAAAATCTCCCACAGGTGTCTGACTCAGTCTAATGTTTCCACAGATGTACACAAGAAGCCATGACTGATAATGCAAAGGATCATGGGGGGTTGTGTGGGTAAAGGAGGAACATTATCATATGTAAGGAATGGCAGTGCCAAGTTCTTTGTTTTGTATCTGGATAAAGCAGGTGGGCTACAAGAGACATGATAAGAGCTCTGACACACACACAAACACACACACATAGAGGAGACATAAATGGATTCATGTTAATGCAAATCATGAACACAAAGGAACAAAAGAAGCACACAGACGGCTAAAGTGAAGAGTAAAAGGAGACAAGGAAGTGTCCCTGTCTATCCAGGTGTGTTGAAGATTCAGTTTGTGTTGGTCACTGAGGAGAAAGGGTGGCGAGATCTGATTAACAATGGGAGAGAAGATAAGTAGATTTTCTCATCCGGATTAGCTTTCAAACCCATTTTGTAAATAATGTTACTCGTATCTCTGCAAACAAGAAAAAAATGTAACTCTCCCATCTTGTTGTCCATGATAAACAAACAAAAAGGTATATTAAAAAAAAGCATGTGTGTGCGCGCGCATGCGTGTGTTAACGTGTGCGTGTGAAAGAGAGCGAGAATTTTGAGATTCACGTCAAAATTCAGACTTTCATTTTAGAATTTCAGAACTTTGAAAATAAATAAATTTTATTAAGGAATTAAATTCATTTTCACTTTTTCCATTTGTTTTTTCTCCGACTTTTCCATAATTTTATTAACCATTTAAGGCATGAGAAAAAAAAACCCCACACATTTCTAAACATCTTTGTTTATGTCCTCAAAACTCCTAAAATTCCACCAGGAAGCAAAAGCAGCAGTAAAAGACAACCAGTCCACTCAAACAGAAGATGCTTGTGGACATCTCAAATGCACTCAGAAAAGCCATTAATAAAAATAATTAGCGCAGGAGATGGGCGGAAAAACACAGGCGCAGTTGGCAGATGTAAAATCTCATTTCTGTTATTTAATTTATTAGCGACTGAAGCAGGAAATCCACCAATCACTGTCTTACAGCACTGAGCTCCCTGCAGGAAGCATCTTCATCCTTAAAGGACAAACGAACATGCAAACGTAAACAGACACAGATCTGATCAGCAGCCGAAAAGGGAAAAAGAGATCATTAGCAAAGGAGAAGATCAGATATCACTAATTCATCTTGGTCAAAATGATTAGAAAGAAGCGTAAAGAGAAGAGAAGAATATACAGTATAAAGTGTTGGCTGTGTACATTTCAGATTTAAAGTACTTTTGTAATTCAGGAGTCATAACTCAAGTTCCAGCAAAAACGTGCACACAAAATGTTTTACACTCTTGCAGGCATAGCTAAAGTTGTTCAGAGAGGTCAAGGCCATTACCATATTTTCCGCCGTACACGACGCACCGCCTTATAGGTCACATCAGTCCAAATATGTCTAACAAAGTAAAACAAATATATCGCTTTGCCGTATAGGTCGCATCTATTATATGTCACCACTGACTCGTCACGTTTGTTACGTGTCACCGCTGACAACCTGGAAATGTGGGTCAGTGCTGTGCCAAAAATTGATTGGCTGAGAAATGGCGGCCGTGGGAGTGTGCACGGGAGAACTTTTAACAAGAATTTAATGATTAACACAAAAACAATTATTTGTTTGCTTGAAATTATAGCAATCTGTTGAAGTTTTCTTTAATAAATTCACTTTGACGGTCAAAACAGCTGTATTTAAAAAGCCAATTTGCGGAAGCAGGAGCGCGCAGAGGGCGACTCGCTGTGCATTTCTTCGAAACTTAACAAGATAACCACCTAAAAACAATTATTTGTTTGCTCGGCATTATAGTAAAGGTGTGTCTCAGTTTAACGTTTCCTTAATAAATGCACTTTGATGGTCAAATCAAAGTATTCGCTGCCCCGGTGCTCCGGGAGTGCACAGAGGGAGGAAATCAGGAAGGAGGAGCTCTGCACATTTCTTCAAATTTTAACAAGATAAGCACCTAAAACAATTATTTGTTTGCTCGACATTATAGCAAAGGTGTGTCTCAGTTGACCTTTTACTTAATAAATGCACTTCAAAGGTAAAATTAGCTGCATTTCACCGGAGCAGCACAAAAAAAATGAAGCTGATTTGACGGTTGCTCCAGGCATGATCCTGGAGCTGGAATGAAGGTGGCTTCTATGGCAAGCCGATAGTGTCATTAATAGCCACTTTTACTTATTACATGACACAATGGCCTGCCATACTATTCGAGTGCCATCTAGTGGCTGAAAATGGTAGTGTTCAATATTTACAATGTCAGATTGAATGAAAACGGTCATATCTCAGGCAAAAATTGGTTTATAAATATGAAAAAAAAACCCACAAATAAGTCGCTTCGGTGAAAAAGTCGCAGGGCATGTAAATTATGCAAAAAAATGTGACTTATAGGCTGGAAAATACGGTACTATTTCTGCAACTCTGTGATGTAAACAGAGAACTTCAGCTTACGAAGGAAAGTTGAATTTCAGTTTTATATTTTTAGTGTGTGTTTTTCTTAAGCATGTTTTGGAACTGAAAAAAGGAGTGGCTCTTAATTTCATTGTACTTGCATATAATGACAATAAAGGCATTCTGATTCTGATTCTGAAAGAAACTTTTCTAGTCTGCACTCTTACGCCATAATCACAAGACTATCTGAGAGACTTAACACAATTAGGGTCCCACTTTAAATTCAATCTACAGAATATATACAATTAACACCTATGGAGCAGACCTGGATCCCTAAAAGCTGATTATAAACCCAGAAAACTTTCTACTTTTAACAAGCAAAAGGTTTAAACAAATGTAAAGCTTAACTATAAAACCAAACTCATGTTGTTCCTCATTTACAACAGCAAAATTCAGTTGAATTTATTAAAAGTATGAAAGCACTTGGAACTAAACTAACACCAAACATTTTCCAAACAATCCAACTAAAACCAGAAATTAAAGCTATATTTGATAAAAAGAAAGACTTTTTTTTATATTAAAAAGATTTCCTGATTCTTTTATAGTCTTTCTTGAAAAGAGTAGTCACTGACAAATAGAGGATCAGAGTTTAAAGGAATTTAAGAGTCCACACTACCACACCTGAATAGATAAACACTACCACACAAAGAAGCACATATTTCATGCAGGCGGTGATAGTCAGCACTGCACTCCTCATTTTTCCAGCACTGAAGCACCCCAACTGTGTATTGTACTGCAGCTGATGAAAGACTTGAACATATGGCTGAATGGATTCAAGCAGAGGAGCAAAGGTAGTGTAAACAGAACGAGAACGAGAGATGATGCTAGAGGGATACACAATCTGCCAGCGTGAGTGTTGTGAAGGATAGAAAAGCATGTATACATCCTGTCAAACATTACAAACATCTCTAATCCTCAAACAAAAGAAAACGCATGGAAACCCTGCCGGGAGCAGTAGTGATTCTGCGCTGAAGACTTGTCACATGCCATCCTTTGAGTAACCATCACGTTCGGCTCATTTCCACCTGAAAACTACTGACTTGAAGGTGAACGTCAATCGTGAGCACGCTCATCTACTACATGAACAGCAACGAGAAACATTAGCTCCATCTGCGTGGAACTTTTCATCATGTTTTTACCGTTTGTGTGTCTCATAAGAGCCGAGCCATAAAAACAAATGACTCCATTGTTGAGGATGTGGGCAATGATGGTTATGGTAATAATGTTGGCAAATGACGGCAGCAGAAAGTATCCTACCGTGGTCTGTGATTTTACAAGACACTAGATAGAGCTCCTTCAGACTTCTCCCCTCCTTGGCGATGATTTCCACACACCTACAAACAGAAAAACAAAGTAAATGTTAAAATGGAATCGGCGTGAAGATACGTTTCGCTTTTGCCTACGCCGCAATGCACACGCAGAAGTTTTCTCACTCAAACACCCTTTTCCCTGCCCACACAAGTAGGATTTCTCAACTACAAAGGTTAAACAGTACTGCTGCAGGGTCACAAATGTTCACATTTTCTGCGTCTATGTCTTTTAGCATACATAAATAATTAAAAAAGCTGATCTGATTAAAGAAGCAAGCATCAACGCAGCGGGATTGTATGTGTGTATTCGTGCATGAGTGCACACTGTCTCACACACTTGCTCACTTCAAAGCAATCTATCTGGATTCAGCCCACTGCCTGAGCCCAAAGGATCGTCAAAGTGTGTGTGCACGTGTGTGTGTGCGTGAGAGTGAGAAAGTATACACTAGGGAGGCCCAAAGGCAAGATCAGAGTATCTGTATCAAATGATTCTCTTTAAATACCCGTAATGAGAGGAGTGCCATGCAACAACTAGATTTTGATCTTTGCATTTGACCCATTAACCTTCAGGAGAAATACTTTGATCTTATTGCTGGTGTTGTGTCATGAAAATTAATGAGACAAAAAGATGAGCATGCACACACACACAGTGAGATTGCAGCGTTCGGCTTTAAGCTGCCGATGAGCTTCATGTCAAAGTGGAGACATCGAAACATTATTGAAGTGTTTGCTGTGGTGTGTTCTTTTATGAAACGCACAACATGACTGACAACTGAGGTAATGTTCTTCTATTTGAGGCACACGACCGTACGGCTTATCCCAGCACAGCCCACGCAAGCATGAGGACTTGTTGCGAGAATATGAGCTTTGTTGCTTTCATGCTGTTTATCCGGCATCCTCACTGTCTGCAAACATGAGCGAAAATAGGACTTAGATCAACAGGGAATTCAGTACAGAACAACTTCCCCAGAATAAATAAATAAATAAAGCTTGATTTGAGAGTGTTTTTGCTCCAGGATTCACTTAAGGTGACACAATCCACAGATGCCACTTGAGGTGTGATATATCACACTGCAGGATCAAGGAAGGAAAGCCGCAAGTGACAGAAAAGTTAGATTGTGTGTCACATTTCTAAACTTTGTGACTGAGTGTATTCTAAGTTGTAAAAACGTGTACAGGCCTGTCTGCTTTACTCCACTGGACTGAATCTTTTTATTTTGCTTTTTCCATCATTTTTTCCCCTTGCACCCCTACAATCTTCCTCACATTATCGGGTTATCTTATTTTCCACTTTGTCACCCTCCTCTCCCATGTCTTTCTATTTATTTTTCTGTCTCTTTCTCTTTCCTACAAATGTTTCTTTTTTTCTATTTAACCCTCTTACTCTCCATCTGTGGCCCTGACGTGATGTATCATGTGAATAATAAACCTTTTCTCTAAATAACGAGACGACCTGTTGCAATCGGTCATTCCTAGAGCAACCTTCAGCCACAGTCAGCTTTAGATTAGATTCAGTTAAGCCTGAAGGATCACAATATCAGGCTGTGTGTCTTGGGGCTAAAGCATTAGAACTGCTAATGAATGAATGCCCTGGGAGGAGCTGGTTGAGGAAACAGATAAAAAGAATAGTAGCAATTCAGGATGCTGCGACGAAGGCGAAGAGCATCCTCTGGGACCTTGTTACACTGTGCTCTGGTCCCAAGGGTGAGAGCAAAAGCAATTAGATCAGACATCAATGAATGAAGGTAGGAGCAGGGAGAGATGGAGAGGAACTACAGCAGGAAACAGTAAGGAGAGATCTCTATATAGACGGAGAACGGATGCATCATGGAGGAGCAGGGAAGGGAGACAAAGAAGAGAGAACGTGGGACCTCTAACAAGGCAAGAGTGACGAGAAATGGAAGAAGGTGAGACAGCTAAGAAGATGAGGGAGGATGGGGAAAAAGGTAAGGGAACTGCAGGCCCTTCAACATGCATCCAGTACAGCACCAACATGAATTAGTGATCTGCTGCTTCAATGTGAAAATCTTAATGTACATTTTGAATGGATCTTAATTTTGATCATTCATTTTTTGGGGCCTGCAATGCTACAAATACTTATGGGATGTAAGGTGATTTGACTGGTGAAGCTGCTGGTGATGCTGGGGCATGGCACACCAAGGGACAATAGAAATATTTAGAAAATTGGGAAATTAGGAGTTAGAAAATGTAGCACGGTTGTGAAGTTGGTAGAGCTGCCGCCTCTCAGCGAGCAGGTCGTCCTGGTTCAAATCCCAGTTGGAGACCTTTGTGGGTGGAGTTTGCATGTTCTCTTTGTGTGAGTTTTCCCCAGATCTTGCTGACATGAATACGCCCTTAGTGAAGGTGTGATGGACAAATGGAAGCACACAAGATAAATAAGAAAAGAAAATTAATCTCAAAAGGAGAGTTAATAAAAATGATTTCAACTATTACAGAAAAAGAAAAGAGTGACGCAACAAAAGGGATAAAGGATTGTGAACAGTGACAAGGATGCATCAAAAAAGTAAGATGCTCCTCTTAAGGACACCCCTTGTGTATAAAATAAATCCAAGAACATTTGGATTAAATTATGTAGCCAGATAAGGTGCAGCTCACGGTTATTATTGTCACTTTAATGACAATAAAACTGTATTCATGACAACAAAGTATTCCATGTGTAAGCAATAAGCATTACCAGCTGTCAGGAAGGGATGGAGGAGCAGAAAAAGAGGCCTCATCAGGGGTCAACGGGGGGGTTACCATCACTGCACTGCTGGCATCAACAGTTAGAGGTAAAACCAAAGTGCCACTTTCACACAAACAAAAGAAACATTTTCTTTGGCTCTTGGCATCCCAGAGGTGTTGAGAAGCTTTTAATTGATAAATGAAAAAAAAAAAAAAAGTTGCCACCTGGATTTAACTAAGCAAATAGGTACGAGCCTCCTATTGGATAATTACTGCATGGGCAATTATCTTTCAGCTGGCAACAAGTTATTTAACACCAACTGGCGCAATGAGTTGCTTCTCATTTCTTAAGCAACCATGTTGAAAGACACATCGTGTGGTTGTGGAAAATATGTCAGTCCGTTTGAGAAGGGTCAAATCATTGGCATCAAGCAGAGAAAATATCTAAGGAGATTGTAGAAACTACTAAAATTGGGTTAAGAACTGTCCAACACATTATTAAAAACTGGAAGGATAGTGGGGACCCATTGTCTTCGAGGAAAAAATGTGGCCGGAAAAAAATCCTGAATGATTGTGAACGGCGATCACTTAAATGTTTGCTGAAATCAAATCGACGAAAAACAACAGTAGCACTCAGGGCTATGTTTAATAGAGAGCATTTCCACACACACTATGTGAAGGGAACTCAAGGGATTAGAACTGAACAGCTGTGTAGCCTTAAGAAAACCACTAACCAGTGAGGCTAACTGGGAAAAAAAAAGGCTTCAATTTGCTAGGGAGCATAAAGATTGGACTCTGGAGCAATGGAAGAAGGTCATGTGGCCTGATGAGTCCAGATTTACCCTGTTCCAGAGTGATGGACGCATCAGGGTAAGAAGAGAGGCAGGTGAAGTGATGCACCCATCATGCCTAGTGCCTAGTCATCAATGCAAGATCTTGGTGAAAAAATTAATGCAACATTGGATGGAAATAGATCTTGTGACTAGGGATGCACGATATTGGATTTTTGGCCGATATCCGATATGTCGATATGTTAAAACTTATTTGGCCGATAACCGATGCTGATACCAATATTTTATATATGTTCTTTTGTCAGAACATAGCCCTCTTATTTAGGCTTATTTGCTACAAAAATTGTGCAAAAGCTGTAAAAACTGGTGACATATATTCAGTAACAGCCAAATGATATGCATAGAACTTTAACTTATGTTAAATGAAAAGTGTTAAATGTTATTTATTTAGTTATAGTTTTATTTATTAGTCACCTGCAATACTGTCTCACTTATGGAGGCTTGTTCCAGGTTCCTAGCTGCAGTGTGGGATCCTCTGCACTCCTGTGCATGAAGGACAACCTTTTTAAGTTAAAAGTTTTTGTATATTCATTGTGCCATAAGACTGATCATGCTAACGGGACTAACACGACGTCCACATGTCTGTGGTAAAATCACGCAACAAGTCGTGCTATCGGCTATTAGCTTCTCAATGACGTCAGAAATGACGGCTTGTAACTCAGGTAACGTTACGTCGGAAAGATATCTCCGACTGGGGACGATGTAGTGAGGCTCAACGTAGTCCATAAATCTTCGAAATCTGACATCATCGCAAACGATAAATAAAACTTCCACACCGCAGACATTTTGAATTTTCCTCTCCGCCATGAGATCAGGTAGGCACACGTGGCGTCATCGTATTGTGCTGCTGCTGCAACGTCATCACGTTGTGCTGCTGCAGGCAAAACCAGTGCCTTTTATATCTGCAAGTTACTTTAATGGAATGGCCGATGTCCAATATTGAACTTTAACGCTAATAACGGCCGATACTGATACCGTGCCGATAATATTGTGCACCCCTAGTTGTGACACTGCAGAAGCTTATCGAAACGATGCCACAGTGAATGCATGCTGTAATCAAATCTAAAGGGGGTTCAACGAAATATTAGTGTGTGACCTTTTTTTTGGTGGCGACTTTTTTATTGGCATGGCAGTGTTATCTCTCTAGTTTTAGCTTCTCTCCAGTGGCTCCCTGTCTAATTCAGAATGAAATTCAAAATTTTACTTCTAACATACAAAGCTCTCAACAACCTAGCTCCATCTTATATTACAGATCTTATTGTTCTATATTTTCCTAAAAGAGCACTTCACTCTCAGACTGCAGGTTTACTTGTGGTTCCTAGAGTTTCCAAGAGCAGAGCAGGAGGAAGATCTTTCAGTTATCAGGCTCCTCTCTTGTGGAACCAACTTCCAGTTTCTATCAATAAGTCTGACACTGTCCAGTTTTAAGATTAGGTTCAAGTCTTTCCTTTTTGATAAATACTATAGTTAGGGTTGGCTTGGGTTTCC